GGGGGAGGGGTAAACCCCTCCCCGAAGGGGAAGAGGGAAGGGTGGAAGAGGAAACTCGTTAAACCACCGACGCCCAGAGGGCTGGTGGGATTCTTGCAGAGAGCTGCAGTCTGGAGGAAAATCGGCGGTGGCCTGCTATTGACCACCCTTGCATATTGACCACCTGCTTGGACAACGCCCGCCGCACTGCAGAACCTGACGGCCTCCTTTTTTGATTTATCTGCGGCCGACGACATTGTTTCTGTTTCCATATGTAGGGTGTATCGGTGGGAAAACCACACGAATGGTGGCTTACAGATCATGCAGCGCTTGGCCAACCTTCGAATCATCTACGACAGCGCTGACCATATTATGCGCAAAGCAGCATCATGCGATTGGTGTGCGCGCAAGTTCTTCCAGAATCTCCAGGACGCCTGCGACAAGCTGCGGCAGACCGCGCGCGATTCCGGCATGTCCGTTGACGTTCTGTTACAAGGTGATGCTGCTGAACCCGTCCCGCGCGCCCGCTGGCAACGTAGGTGCGTTGCTGGCTTCACGCCCCCAGCCCTTCCTGCGCTTTCCTCCTCCTCTCCCACTTTTTGTCTCGCCTCTCGCTCCCCAGCGTCCTCCCTGGCCACCCTCTGGAGCGGAATATCGCGTCTGGTGCCTCACCTCGTCTGGGCAACCGTTTACAGGGCGCTCCAGAGCGGATGGGTCACCGGCCGCCACATGCAACGGCGCATTGCGTGCCTCTTCGCCTGTGGGTGCGGGCAGGACAGCAGGCAACACCACTCATCTCGCTGTACGCAAAGAGCGCGTTGTAGCCAGTTTCGGCTGCGGTTTTGACAGCCTGCCCCATCTGAGCGCACCTCCCCCTTCCTCCTCTTATCTCTTCTCTTCCGCGAGGCCACGGCGCGCGGACATGTACGTCGGGCCCCGGCACTGTACGCCGCGTGCGCCGCCACCGGTGTTGCGCGACATGGACGCACGCCCGACGCGACTGCCTCCTTGGACCAATTCACCAGGGAAGCATGCGCAGTGCGCTTTGGACTGGCGGTCGCTGTTGCCGCTGCTGGGGCTGGCAGTTGAGCTATTCTCTCCTCGTCTTTCGTCTCTGTTTAGCGTCTCGCCTTGGGTGTTGTTGTTCACACGTAATTGCCTCACGATCGTGCATGGCCGCCGATTCTGTCTGCAGGCAAGTGCTGTGGACCTTGTGCCGAACTGCAAGGTGACCCGGTCTGAGATCAGATTCTGGGCTTCTTTCGTATCAGTATTTGCCTCGGCGTCCTCCTCCCCCTCCTCCTTCTCCTCCTCCTCTCCTCCTGTCTCCTCTTCCCCCTTTGTGGATTTATCGACCTGGCCTTCTAGGCGACTTGGGGTGCATGGGTCTGTGTTGCCCCTTTTCTCCCAAGCTGTGAATGCATGCGTCGGATCACCTATTGCAGGTTGGCTTGAGCGTGCTCTGTGATTGGGAGTTGTCTCCCCCTTCTTTCCCCTCCTTCTTCTCCGCCCTCCTCCCTCCTCCTCCTCCTCCTTCTCCTCCTCCTCCTCCTCCTCCTCCTCTTCCCCTGAGCTCATTTGGTCCGAGCGCCTGCTCGCCCTTGGGCCTTCGGCGCGCAGGGGCGCGCTCATGGTGGTCGCTGCCAGGCTGGAGTGGATTCGCAGGCAGCTGGAGCGTGGCGCTCGTTCGTGCGCACATCTCGGCTGGCGGTGCGGCAGCTCAAGGACGAGCGAAATACGAGGTCATCGTCGACCCTCCAGGCATTCCGACCTCGTTCCCAGAGAAGCCAGTACTGCTGGCGGCGCTGGTCTCCATCCAGCAGGCGGTCGGCCGTCTCCGAGCTGTTGACCGAGGACACAGGCACACCTCGGGAGCCTCCGAGGTCTGTAGCTGGCTCTCGGCGGTCCCCCACCCCCGGTATCCTGGAGATGGACTTGGCCTTGATGAAGGGGGCGGCCACCATGGTGGAGGTGGCGATCCTGACCGTTGGCGGCCGCGACATGGCGAACCATATGATGCTGGCCTTCCAGACCCGCGCGGGGTCGACCGGTGGCACTTGGACGATGGGGATCCACGGGCATTGGCTGGTTCTTTGCACAAGGCCCTCGGCATCACCAGGGCAGTCAGGTGCTTCCGGAGGTACCGCCCACCATTCCCGTTCAACACGGTGGCGCCGTTTTATTATGCAGGAGACAATGGGGTGGATCAGGCGGACAGGGTTTTGTCGGAGTTGGGCTTCGCTTCCCGTGGTGATGGCGATGCGGATCGTGCTACTGATTGTGACGATCCTGGGAAAATCGAACAGGATGATAGCGAACCTGAGTGTGCCGACCCTGGCAAAGTTGGTGCGGATCTCGCTGCTCACGATGGGGTCCTCCCTCCAAGTGCTGCCAGGTTTGGTGGCGATGCCCCCCCTGCCGTTCCTGAGCTTCCTGACCAAGGAGAAGAACCATCCGCCAGTGGCATGATGGATGTCATGCTCTACGAGACGGATGGCGACGGGTTCTCTGCGGACGGCGTGGTGCGGGCTGCCCTCCCTCTCCCACATCGTGGTGCTCGTGTGGGCCCAGCGGCTGGCGACGGTGGTGCTCGTGCTGGACTTTACGGCGAAGGTGGCGGTGGGCATGCGGAAGTCCGTCCTGCGGATTCTCTCTTTGCCGTGGAGGCTGCGCTGAAAAACCTCCAGGCCACGTTCACGGGGGGTTTTGGTTCTCTCGGGCGGCCTTTGGCGGGGCTGCTCAGCCTGGTGCTTGTGACGTGGTTTGTTTTCCGTCTTACGGCGCGGACACGTTCAGCCCGTACGAGCATCCAAGCATTGGAGAGCTCTGCGTGCAGTCTGGGTGGGGGCTGAGCGACTTCATCGGCAAGCACTGTGTGGTTACGGAGGGCGAGTTCAAAAGGAGTTGGTCGTATCTATGATGCTTCTCCTTCCGACGTGTGGCTTCTGATGCATGTTGGTGGTACACGCGTGGCGGCTCCTGCTCTTCATGTTCTTGAGTGTCGGGACCCTGCCGTTCCTCTGAATAGTGGCTAACGCCTGCGGCTCCGTCATCACAAGTACTCCCAGCTCTGCTGCGTCGGTGGTTTCCTGCACACCCTTGGTTTCAATTGCGCCTTCGGTACGGATTGTTTGGGGATGAATTATTGGGTGGTGGTGGTAGGGCCATTCACATGGGGCGCCTTTTCTCGGCGGTCCTCGCCCTCCTCAAAAGGGCCCCGTCGCAAATCGGTCCACATATGCGAACGAAAGCAAGGGAGGAGAAGGAGGACAAGTTTTGAAACAACTAGCCTTGCCCATTCCGCTCTCGGCGTGGATGCGCTCCCGCGGCCGTCTCGAGGCCGCCGCCTGCGCTCGCATGCGATTGATCTACCCCAATCACCGTGTCCTGCTGGAAAAATCTGGCCGTTCAGAAAAGGATGATATTCCAGGCTACCTTCCTGGGAGGTTATTCGGACGCATCCCTACGGAGGATGAGCGCCCCTCCCCTTCGTATATCCTTTGGTTTGGCGTCAAATTTTTGGTCCTTTCAAACAAGCCCACAAAGTCGAGGCTGCCTGGCCCTGGCGCCGTGGCGGCCCTCCGCGGGCGAGGGCGGGCGCGCTCCCGCCGTGCGAAGTGGGATGATGAGGATGAGTGTGATGAGGAAGGGTGATGATGAGGGAGAGGGTGATGATGAGGGTGCGGGTGGTGATGATAATGACGATGATGCTGATGGTGATGGTGGTGATGCTGGTGAGGGTGATGATGCTGTTGCTGCTGCTGATGATGATGGTTGTTGGTGGTGGTGATGATGATGACGACGACTACGAACACGACGACGAGGATAATGATGATGAGGAGGGTGATGATGGTGATGTTGAGGAGGATGATCAAATGATGGTGATGGTCGTGATGATGGTGTCGATGATGATGCTGACGACTATGCATGATGGTTGATGGTTGGTGATGCGGACGATGATGATGACGATAATTATGGTGATGATGCATCATGATTTGTGAATTATGTGTAATGGCGGTCTTGATGCTGATGATGCTGCTGATAATGATAATGATGCTCATGCTGATGACGATGGCGATGGCAATTTGTGATGGCGATGCTGATGCTGATGGTGTTGATGATGATGATGCTGATGAAGGTGATGATGTTGATGATGCTGTTCATGATGATGATGGTAATGATGTTGTTAATGATGATGATGTGTGGTTCTGATGGTGACTATGATGTATGATCGTAATGCTGATACTGATGATGGTAATGATGATGCTGAGGAGGAGGGGGTTACTTCTGATGATGATGATGATGGCGGTGGTGGAGGTGATGATGATGATGATGGTGGTGGTGGTGATGATGATGATGGTGGTGGTGGTGATGGTGATGATGATGAGGAGGAGGGGAGGAGGAGGAGGAAGAGGAGGAGGAGGAGGAGGAGGAGGAGGGGAAGGAATAATATATCGAATGCCAGAAAGCGGTATACACATAATTCCCGGGACCTCCGAGAAATTCCCCAATGAGAGCTTGCCTCTGTTGGGGTCCTAGCGGATTCATATGATTAGGTGAGGTTTGCCAACGATTTCCGCGGCCCGCCCTGGTGCCCAGGTGCCTAGGTGCCTGGGTGCCCGGGTGCCCGGGTGCCCAGGTGCCCGGGTGCCCGGGTGCCCAGGTGCCTTATAGCCCTATAGCCCTGTAGACCTATAGCCCTGTAGCCCTATAACCCTATAGCCTTACAGTTCTACAGCCCTATAGCCCTACAGCCTTATAGCCTTATAGCCCCGTAGCCCTATAGCCCTTTAGCCCTATAGCCCAATAACCCTATAACCGTATAGCCCTATAGCCCTATAGCCCTATAGCCCTTTCGCCCTAGAGCCCTAGAGCCCTATAGCTCTCCAGCCCTATAGCCCTATAGCTCTATAGCCCTATAACATTGTAGCCCTATCGCCCAAAACCCCGATCGCCCAATAACCCAATAGCCCCATAGCCCTATAGCCTTATAGGCCTATAGCCCAGTAGCCCAATAGCTCAATAGTCCTAGAGCCCTACAGCCCTATAGCCCTGTAGCCCTATAGCCTTACCCCCTCATAGCCCTCTTGCCCTATAGCCCTACAGCCCTATAGCCCTATAGCTCTATATGCCTATAGCCCCATAGCCCTACAGCGCCATTGCCCTATAGCCCTATAGCCCTATAGCCCTATAGCCCTATGGTCTTATTGTCCTATAGCCCCAGAGCCCTATAGACTCATGCCCTATGGTCCTACAGCCCTATAGCTGCATAGCCTCGGAGCCCCATCGCCCCATAGCCCTATAGCCCTACAGCCCTATAGCCCTACGGCCCCGTAGCCCTATAGTTCCATAGCCCAATAGCCCCATCGCCCTGTAGCCCAATAGCCCCAGAGCCCTATAGCCCTAAACAGACTTTGATTGGGGTTTGTTTCCGGCATCATGAAGTGATTCGCTCCATGCCGCGGGCTCCCTGTCTCGGGAATGGGAGATGCGCAAGCTAAATCATGAGGTCTGGGCGCCGCCGTGAAGCAGTGTCGGGACCTGTTTGTTTTTCGACCCTGATCCCACGGATCTGCGTCACGGGTGCTACCGAATTTCAGAAATGTGGCAAATCCCAAATATGTTTTTGGACCCTGACCTTACGGATCTGCGTGAGGGGTGCCACCGAATTTCAGAAATGTGGCAAATCCGTTTGTGTTTTTGGACCCCGACCCCGCCGATCTGCGTGAGGGGTGCCACCGAATGTCAGAAATGTAGCAAATCCCATGTTTTTTTGGACCCTGACCCTGCCGATCTGCGTGATGGGTGCAGCCGAATTTCAGAAATGTGGCAAATCCCATGTGTTTTTGGACCCTGACCCTGCCGATCTGCGGGTGCCGCCGAATTTCGGAAATGTGGCAAATCCGATGTGTTTTTGGAGCCTGACCCTGCCGATCTGCGTGAGGGGTGCCACCGAATTTCAGAAATGTGGCAAATCCGTTAGTGTTTTTGGACCCCGACCCCGCCGATCTGCGTGAGGGGTGCCACCGAATGTCAGACATGTAAAACATTTTCTTTGTTTTTTGGACCGTGACCCCGCCGATCTGCGTGAGGGGTGCCACCGAATTTCGGAAATGTGGCAAATCCGATGTGTTTTTGGACCCTGACCCTGCCGATCTGCGTGAGGGGAGCCACCGAATTTCAGAAATGTGGCAAATACCTTTGTGTTTTTGGACCCTGACCCCGCCGATCTGCGTGAGGGGTGTCAAGTTTGACCCACCCCAGCAATTCAGACAATACGCTCACGGCGTGGTAAAAATGCCCGTTTTGGGCCTCCCCCCCTCGCGCGGTCCACCAACAAGGAACAGTAAGCAGCAAGAAGCAGAACTGTAACAAGGAACAGTAAGCAGCAAGAAGCAGAACTGTAACAGTGGAAACTGGAAGCTGCAACTGGTACAGGAAAATGCGAACCTTCGGCCTACAGCCTGGTGGCCCCACAAGGGAGCCGGCGGATTTTGTTCCTTTTAGGAGAGTTCGAGGAGGTGGTGGAGGAGGAGGAGGAGGACGAGGAGGGGTGAGGGGTGCCCGAGGACCTGCTTCAGAAGCTCTTCGCCGACAACAGCGAGGCCCGGGCGAAGACGACAGAGGACACGGGCCCGCCTCCCGGTGCCGATGTGGCTGACTGCTGCTGGCTTTGCTCGTTGCCCCTCTCTCAGCTGCATGGCTCGTGGTTCGGCAGGCTCCGACCACACTGCAGGGAACACATGAGTAAAGGTTACGGGAAGCGCTAGCTTGCGTAGCACGTCGCACCGCGCGTTATGGCCCACCGTTCTTCGGCGCGGCACGCCAAGCTGGTCCCAGTCCCCGAGCGTTCACGTCCCAAGCTTTCTTTCCAGCCTCCCGCCACACGGAGCGGAACGACATGCTATCTGGTCGCAGGGCATAGCGTGCCGCCGGGGCCGCTGTTGCGACACGCTAAGCACAAGTTCCTGACCGTAGCGGTGGTGCCCGGATTCGTCCAGCGGTTGTCCGGCGTCTTCCGTGGAGGTGTCCGGCGTCTTTTGTAGGCACATCCCGTGCAGCAGTGCAATTCATGGCAGGTCGGACTAGTCGTCGGCATGTGTATTCCCCTAGTGCTAATCCGACCTGGTTCCGTTTATTCTGAGTGAGCTCTGGTTTGACCTGGCTTTGTCCAGATAGGTTTGCAATGCAGCCTAATACTTCTTAGCCGTGCCTAGACATACATTACAGTAGTTGCCACCGAACTCCATTGTGCTCCTTCATCGTTCTTCTCTCGCCCTCTTCCCCATCCTTTTTCTTCACCGGTCTTGCTCAAATCCGATAGCTGAAAAGGTACTTCCAGGTGGCTGCGCCCCACATCCCATGGCACCGCGGCTCGTGCGCGCGCGCGTACGTCGTTATCGTTGTGCTTGGAGTTCGCCTTTATCATCGTGAGACTGCGTTTCATCTGCCACTTTCCCCCCCTCCTGCTCTTCCTTATCTTGCTGCTCATTCTTGGGCGGCCACCCGCGCGTTGACTGCGAAGCCCGCCGCGTCTGACTCATGATCAGCAGCTGGGCTGAAGCAGATGCATCGCACGAAACGGAAGAGCAGCAGGTACGTACACGCATGGCTTGATCCGATTCGATTTCGATCGATTCCGATTCCGATTTGATTCGACCTCGGACTCCGATTTAGATTTGGGTTTCTCAGTGGAGGTTTTGTTAGCCTGCTGATTTACGATTCGACTTCTCCCGATTTGGCTGCTGACTTCCGCCAATCCGATTGATTCCGATCATCGTTTCGAATTATCGATGCGATTCTGGGCTCTCCTGTAGAAGGACAGCGTGCATCAGCGCCGCGCGCATCAGACGAGGGGCCCACGAAGGGTGGGAGGAGCAACCGAGGCACTGTGTGCCAGAGATGGAGAGAGAATGCGTGCCAGTGTCAGGTTGAAGTGAAGGCCGGCGGCGGCCTGAACCAGGCCAACATTCAACGACCTCGGTTGTCAGCATGCGAGCGACGGAAGGAAACGGGTACAATTGTGCGGACACTGGCGCGTAAGCTGGCCGCGTAAGGCTGCGCGTAAGCGCCCTCGTTCTCCACACAGCGTGGCACGCTGGCGGCCTGCGTAAGCCACCGCGCGAAGTCGGTATGCCGTCTCGCGTAAGACCCGCTTTTTTTGTCGCTCGTGTGACGATCGTCCAAGGCCGCACGGTTCATGCGGTGTCAGAAGCCAGTGCGCAAGTCGTCAGGACAGGAACCAGTTCCAGACCTCCGACGTGATGCCGTTTTTTCTGTTTTGTTTTGTTCTTGTTTTCAAAGCGTGGGCACCTGGAGGTCCAGGCCTTTTCTCCAGGACCGGTCATTCATCCCAAGTGGCTTTTTCACTGGCGTCCAGGCCTCCAGTAAGGCGAGAATGGGCCACGCACTCCCGTCGTGTTCTCTTCTATTCTCACGGCGCGAGGCGGTCTGGGGCCACAGCAGCCTGCCTCGAGCCGCCTTTGTCGATCAGGGGCAACGTTAGAGGGGGATAGGCTCAGGGGGTGATGCGGCGATGCATCGGCCATCAATCGCTCATTCATCGTCGTCAGGGGCCCGTTAGCCCCACCCCGCCCAGAAACGTGCGGCTTCGCTATCGTGGGCCAATTGCTGACCCATCGGCGATGTATCACCGCTTCCAGCTCGATTTGGCAGAAATCTTCTCAGCAGTTTCTGGTGGAGCCTGGCCAGAACGTCGCTCCAGCGATCAGTGCGAGCAGGGATGGATGCGAATGAGCGCTACGTCGCGACAAGGTGTAACGTCAGTCTCGCCTTTTTTTTGCCCCCCGTCTCCACTCTTCTCCTCATTAGTCTATTCGCCGCAGTCGTTGGCACGAGACCAGCAGTTTCTGAACGGGTGCCCGTGCACTGATGAAACAACGAGTGTTCTGACTCCTGCTGCAGGCCTTGAGATTGTGTATGCACCTTGGTTTGTTCATCTCTAACGTTCCCCCTCAGCCGAGGACGCCGACCAGAAGGATCTTCCCTCCTTCCTCCCCCATAGCTCACGCGCATTTTTTTATATCGTCTCGCAGCATACGCATGTTTCCCACTGGCGTCAGTACGGTCGGGAACTTCTGGATAGCATGTCGCTCCGCTGGTTTTGGCCCACCGCGCTTCGGCACGACACTCTATCGACTTCCAGGCCCCACAGCGCTAGCGTCCCGAGCTTTCTCGAGCCTCCCGCCCCGAGGAGCGGAGCGACACGCTACCCGCTTACGAGCCACACTGAAGCGCGTCGCCGGGCCGCCGCGGCGACACGCTGTCCAAAAGTACCCGACCATGTACACAAAGGCAACGGTCGGGGGTGGACAGACCTCCTACCCTGACACGTCGATTAAGGAATTGGCCGTTTTCGGTTCGCGAGAGGGCGTCGCGGCCGTGATTTTTGTGGGTCCAGGCCCGTCGGTTTCGGTCCTAGGTCGTTTTCGCCAAAGGGAGGTTTACTAAAGGAAGGTTTGTCCACCGCCGAAACGGCCTCGCCCGCCTGGCTGCAGATTGGCCCGGAGGATGCTCTGGATTGGTGGCTCACTCGCTCGCTCGTTCCTCCTCGGCCGAGGACGCGGAGCGGGCCAGCAGCCTGAGGAGCCAGGTCCGCGAGCTCACGCAGGGCGCCGCCGCGGGCACGGCCGCAGGGGGTGGCGCGGCTTCGCTGGCGCGCGCGGCGTCGCTGCAGGCATTCTGTTTTTTTAGGGGCCGGGGTCGGAGGAGGGGGGAGATGGAAGGAGGAAGGAAGAGGAATGAGGAAGGAGGACGTTTGTGGAGGATGAGGAGGGATGAGGGAAGAAGAGGAGGAGGAGGAGGAGGAGGAGGAGGAGGAGGAGAACAAGGAGGGGGAGTGGGAGGGGGAGGGAGGCGGACAGGGAAGGGGCTGAGATTGAGACCGAGACTGAGACTGAGACTGAAGGAGCACCTGCTCTCTCGAAGGGCAAGCCCCAACGCGCCCCCAAGAATCCCGAGGGGGGGGGGTGAACTTGGGAGAGAGAGTTTTTTAGTCCAGTGCACCGCTGCCAACCAAGCTCCAGAGCGCAGGAGATGCAGGGCTTGCCTGGGAGAGAAGACATGTTAGATCCACTAACTGGCGGCTGTCTTGGAGGGCGGGAGGCCCTTCACGAGACGCTGAAACACCTCCGGCTGGTGCTTGGCTATAGCACGTGGTCCGAGGGTGGCCACCAGGCAAGGCTCCCGCAGGGTACCTGGGCGAGCTACAGGCCAATCACCACACTCGCCGCAGAAGTAAAAGGAACCTTTTGCCAACACACGTGGGAACGATGAATGGGTTTGCCCTTGGTACCCACGGGGCCGCACGCTCGGGCAGCGGGTCGAGCGACAACCTCCTCCAGAGGGTATCGTCACCCTTGGGCAAAAGCCACATCGGCCTAGGTGTCCATTTCACGTTGCGATCCTCCCCGATCCTAGCCTCCAACGCACCGACTCCACCTCCCTCAGCTGGGCACACAGAAGGGAAACGGGCGTGAAACGATGGTGCAGCATCAGAGGTCGAGGCCTTGCAATGGCCACACATCCAGACACCAGCAGCCAGGTCCCAGGGGTGAGGGTATCCCGAATCGTCGGCAGCGGTCCAGCGCCGCCTGTTCAAAACCACATCGAATGGCTGCTTGGTAAGGCGACGGTGGTTGGCGTTCAAAGCCGAACACTCGAGGGTGTGCGCGCGAGGCGGTTGCGTCTCTGGCGCGAGGCCCCGCCAGTGCAACTCTTTTCTGTTCACCGCGGAGGCGATCGTTTATTTCATTCCGCCTTGCGTGCGCACCTGCGGACAATCGACCAGATAAGTGCGCGCCAGGCTCATGCGTCCCCGTCGGGAAAAAACCGAACACTCGAGGATGATATCTGCATTCTTCCTCAGGGTCGTACGGGCCTGCTCAGTCAGGTGGCATGGCCTCAGCCAACATCGGCAAACCTTGACGGCTGTGGGGCGTCCTCCAGCAACTGGCTGGGAACATGGTGGGTCAAGCGAAACGATTCAGACCGCTCTCGACCAGGCCCCATAATTACCACCAGAGGTGGAGGTTAGAGAGCTTAGACGAGGCAGCCTGACCTCAAAGACAACCTTTGATCAAATCCGCATGATCAAAGACACTGTGCCAGTCCTGGGTCGTGTTGACCGCCCTTGACATTCAACGGCAGCAGCTATGCACGAGGCACTGTGTGACGCACAGAGTCCAAGATCCTAGTGACTCCACGGCCCCAGTCAAATTCCTGGCCTGGCTTAACGCGAGCAAGACAAGCGAACGAAACCCGACGCATTGCAGGAAACTTCGCAAAGTGGCCTCCTGAACCGCCCGTGGCGTATAAGCCTTCAGGGAGCGAGCCAGAAGCAGGTTCCCTGGTCCCTGGAGGTCCTTGGATTTGGGGACAGGAGGCAGATGAAGCTGGGGAAGCGGAATGGGCCCACGGACCCAGAGACGGGAATTTTGATGCTGGGAGTTCGCAGTATCCGGGTCAGTCGAGGTGGAAGTATGTACAAATGCCCAGCCCAAATGATTGTTTGAACTTCCAGGGTCGTGCTTGAACCTGCGGCAGAGGGGGTCTGGGCACAGTTGGGCACCAGAACGATGTTGCTCGGTTCAATGACCCCGTGCCGCGAAATGGCAGACCGTGGACGACATGTCCCGACGCCCATCTTCGTCGAGAGCCGCAATGCGCTCCCACTGGTGCAAAAAGAAGCCGGCCCTGAAGTACTAGATTCATCCGTGTGCTGAAGCATTCGCCTACTAGAGTGTCGGTGGATTTGCCAGGGGCTTCTATCAAAGGATCGAGGGGAGCGTACCTCTCCGCCCGCATATTCCGCCCATCTCCCGAAGGGGAGGCGGGGGAAAAAAGGGTGGGACGCGTCTTTTTCGGCGATCTTGTTTTTCCTGACAGCAGCTGGAAGTGGCGCTCAGAGCTGCGTCGCGCCCGGCGTCTCGAGCAGCACGCGCAACGTGGTAATCGCAGCGAGCCCCGGAGGCCGCCAGGTTGAGTTCAGAACACATGTCGGGCAATGCGGCACACGCATGGGACTTGTCTATAGACAACTGGCACCTCCTACTCTCAAGCCCTCTGAGTAATGCCCTGGGCAGGGTGGGATGGTCTCGATGGTGTTATGATGCGTGCCAAGAAGCTTAGCTGCGATGCCATCCGCTCGTTCCCTCAAACGAAGCCGCCGACATACGAGCTTGCTCCATCAAAGGGGCTCGTAAAGGTCGGCACGCGTGAGTGAGGCAGCATGCCCGCGGCCCGCGAGCGCGCCCCCGTGCGCCTGGATACCCATGTGAAAAGCCCCGTCCAGAGAAAGGTTCGGAACTCCAAGGTAGAGGACAATGGCCAGGGCAAGGTGACGAAGCGGGTAGTTTTTAAGCACTTGCAGCATCAAGCAAGTCCTGCAAACACACCTGGTCATACTAGTTCTGCATTTCGCGCAACAGATCCCCCTACCTGGAAACCACTATGGAAGGCGAGCTCAGTTTCGAGCTTGTCTAGCCAACCAGCCGCGTCAGCCGAGCCCCCCACTGCAGTCCAACGGGCCGCGGGTGCCCCTGTCCTGGGAGGCGACAAAAGGTTTCCGCACGCAGGGGGTGGGTGCAGATAAGCCCCAGCAGAGCCGTGGGTCTTTTGCTTCCGTTTGGCTTAGGAAGGAGGTCAATCGCTGAAAACAAGCTGCTGGAAAGGATTGTGCAGCGCCGCGCAACGTCGTGCAACGCCTCAACAACAGGTTGGCTGGACTTGCAGATCGAAAGAGGCCCCCCAGGAGCCAGGTCCTCCGCGGCCCGCTGGGCCTTGATGGCGTCCCTGTGGGGCTCATCAGCCGCGAGTTTGAGCTGTCCAGGCAAGTCCTGGAGCCATGCCCTGAAACCGCGTCGGCCGAAGGGCCATCAGGCGAAGAGGGCATCTGCCGCGAGAGCCGAGCCCTCGGAGGGGGTGTCATCCCGAGAGCCACCATGCATAAGTTTGAGCAACGGCGTAAGCTTGATAGAGGCCGATTTCCAAAATCTGGCCGACCTGTCGACCTGGCAGGGCCTTTCGACTTCGCTAGCAATCGAATGCACCTGGCGAAGTCTGGGTGGTTGGCAGCGGCCGATCTGCGGAAACGCCAAACCTGATCCAAGTCGAGTATGCGCCTTTTATACATACTTTACTACACGACCAACCTTCGGGTGATAAGGAGGTTGTGGGGGGGAGAGGGGGGGGGAACCAACATCTGACTCAATCGATCTCACTATCGATCTCACTCAACGGGACACCACGGGACAGCACGGGACATTTCGGGACACTTGTCGATCTCATTATCGACCTCACTATCGATCTCACTCAACGGGACACCACGGGCCACCACGGGTCACCACGGGACACCGCGGGACACCTCTCGATCTCACGATCGGTCTCGTTATCGATCTCACTATCGATCTCACCCAACGGGACACCATAGGACACCACGGGACACCTCGGGACACCACATCGATCTCACTATCGATCTCACTATCGATCTCTCTATCGATCTCACTCAACGGGACACCACGGGACCCTACGGGACACCACGGGACACTTATCGATCTCACTATCGATCTCACTATCTACCTATACGACCACCCTTCGGGTGATACTGAGGTTCGGGGGGGGGAGGAACCAACGTCTCACTCGATCGGTCCCACTATCGACCTCACTATCGATCTCACTATCGGTCTCGCTCGATCGATCTCACCCGATTGATCTCACAATCGATCTCACTCGATCTATTTCATTCGATCGATCTCACAATCGATCTGACTATCGATCTCACAGCCGATCTATATCACAATCGATCTCACACTCGGTCTCACTATCGATCCCACTATCGAGATCACAATCGATCTCTCACTCAACGTCATCATCACCATCCGCATCATCGTCATCAACGTCATCAGCATCATCGTCATCATCATCATCCTCATCATAAGGTACGGTCGATCATCATCCTCATCATCATCGGGACACCATCATCATCACCTCATCACCATCATCATCATCATCAACATCAGCATCACCATCATTAGCATCAGCATCGGGACACAATTATCATCACCATCATCGTCAACATCATCATCATCGGGACACCATCATCATCATCGGAACACCACCATCATCATATCATCACCATAAACCGCATCATCAACATCATCATTATCGGAACACCATCATCCTCATCAACATCATCATCATCGTCATCAACATCATCATCATCATCATCATCATCATCATCATCGGGACACCATCATCATCGTCACCATCATCATCATCATCATCACCATCATCATCATCATCATCGGGACACCATGATCATCATCACCATCAGCATCATCAACATCACCATCATCGGATCACCATCACCAGAACCACCATCATCACCTCGTCCTCAGCCTCACCATCAACAGCATCATCATTATCGAGACACCATCATCGCCATCATCATCATCAACAACATCATCATCATCATCATCGGGGCACCATCATCATCACCATTTTCAACAGCATCATCATCAACCTCGCCGTCATCATTATCATCATCGGGACACCATCATCATCATTCTCATCATCATCATCTCAT